TGATAAGTTTGCTGCTAGGGTAGCTCAGTCCTTAAGGCAAAGGACAGATTATTGCTGCAGAAAGTAGAGGAAGGAGGCTAGGGAGAAGTCGGTATGCACGCACAAAAATGGAAGTAAATCCTGTGTCGTACCAAAATAAGGATATTTAGAATTAAGGTTTCCTGCCTATCCTTTCCTTATTTTCCAGTGCCTGTGCTATCAGTTGACATAGGACATGCAGTTACAAGAGTATGTGTAACTGCATGTCCTGTCATAGTGTTCAGGTCCCAATTCAACAAAGCTCTTGAGCCGGTACTTAAACCTCTTTGACTATAATGGAATTTAAGCACATGTTTTTGGCTACAGTCTCCAACCAAATCTAGAGACCAGCGAAGATGAGTGGGTTGCTGCTAGGAATAAATAATTATAAATAGGATAAAGCATCTTCTCCCAAATGATACCATGGTTACAGAGCTGCTCCTCACAGCTGGGATGGTTTTCAGAGCCCTCATACAATCTTACTGCATGGAAGAGGACTTAAGAACTGCCTATGACCAGGACCTCCTCCTTTCCCTGGATGCAAATCCAGCCACTTGCACGTATACCATGGAGCGTCTTATGCCATTTGCATAGCCCTATCCTGTGTCCAACCCACCCAAACCTCATGCATGGCTTTAGTTCTACTGCCAGGGAATCCTCTTAGCCATTGGGACGTGCTCAGAGAGTGTTGTCACTGAGCCACGTGATTTCTGGGAGCTCTCCCCAAATAGTGGGTAGCTCCTCCATATACTTGGCTCAGCCTTGAAATGTGTATTATTGTTATGGCGGAATGGGAGTGCACAGCTTAGCAAACAGGCTAGTAGCCAATGCTACAGCAGCATCTGTTGGTGTTGCTGCATTGAAAGGTGTATCAGTGTCTCTGAGTATGAAATCCATCTTCAATAGTTTTCATCCAGGCCTCCCAGCCTACTAGACAAGCCTGCCTGAGGAGTAAGCCTCTTTTTGGCCAAAATCTGGCTAGTCTCGGTTCAGCTATTACACGGCTGATGGCAGAGGGCTCTTGGATATTTGGAGTCTAATTCAGAGCCCACTGAGATTAACATGGCCCTTTCTGTTGCTTTAGTGGATTTGGGAGCAGGGCTTGATTGAAGCCAGAGGCTGACTTCTGTATGCTGAGAAAACATAATCACTGAGTGCACGTTTGTAGAGTGTGCCTAGCCTTTTGTCCCAGATGCAGCTAAATTACAGCAATGAGCACATCATACCAAGTACACCCATACGTGTAATCCCTTTTATCTATCAGGCTTAATAAATACCAGAGCCCTCCAAGCCACTTATACTCTCCTTAATCCACCCCCCTCTCCAGGCTCTGAGACAGCAGGCCTTGCCATATGCCCTAGATTACCAGGTGAATGGGGCTTTCTGCACGTGCGGGGTCCATTTTGACATGTAGAACCAAAACTAAGCAGCAGCATTTGTTTCCTCCTCTCCACCAATTATTCAAAAATAGAAGTGTTTTCAGCCCCAAACACATGGGAAGGAGCGGGAAGACAGCTGCTATGTGAACGCTAGCTATTACCCACAGCTAGGATCTGGCATTTAGACAGCCTTTAAAGGGACACCATCAACTTGTTATGCAAGCGGGCAGATGAAATGATTAAAGTACCACTTAAACCCCCGAATTGTGCTTGTCTTACAATATATTGCTCTTACAGGTAGCAGTTGGGATTAAGATTGAAGGCATGGGCTTGTGTTTTTGGTGTGTTTTGCTTCCTGCAGTTGAGAGCAATTTGGCCAGTGTTTCAGGAGGACGGTGGAACTGAGTCTATGCTAAAGGCCAGATTTGCCCAGGCCCAGCCAGAAGGGCTCAGCACCCACAACAGAGGACAGCCTTTCAGAAGAGCTCAACAGAAGAGGTACATGTGGCTTTTCTGTAGGAGGTGTGAGCATGCCGAGAATCCAGCCTCTCTGCTGTGGTGTGTTACTGGAAACCAAGCTCTCTTGAAATCTGGCACCAGTTCTGAATGCTGAGACCACTTGGACAAATCTGCTCTTCTGGGGAGAGCCAGTTTTACAGTTTTCCCTGTACAGTTGGTCATCTCCCCCTTCCCCCCACATCTCACCGCCTGTGCATCTCATGCAACAATGAGAGAGCTCTTGTTTCTCAGTGACTCGGGCTAGGTCTAGATGGTGAAGTGGCAGTGGTGCCCCTCAAGCATGTGTGCTGCTGTCAACGGGTTCCTCCCTAAACCAGAAGCCGTGTCGCCACAGCAGAGCTGGCAAGCTAACTGGCACAGTCATTCAGCGGTGCCCCAAGTACCATGCATTGGTGGACACGCTGCTTCCAGTTTAGGAAGCTGCCTGCCTACAGCAGCCCATTGTTTGAGGGAGCAGCCACCAGAGATGCTCATTTTACTGAGGTCTGTTTGGTTACAGGCTGAAAGTCTAGGGGCAGGTCTGGAATGAAAAGGATTTTAAGATCCATTGTTTCTAGATAACTAGCTTTCAAATGGGGATTCTTTTGGTGTGGCAATGGCAAATGGATATTATGCAATAACGAGGAAGGAGACGTTCTTACCATCCGTTCAAATTAGTAGCCACCCACAAGTATAACTAGCACCTTGACTGCAGAATGATTCCTGCCAAGTTTTCACAAGTTATTAGCATTTCACTGGCAGTGATCGAATGAAAGTGTGGGAAACCTCCTGCTTGCAGGCTGCTCCATGCACCGTGGTGCCATTTATTTTCTCATGGGAACCTCTGTGCCCAGGCTGGTGCAGGGACAGGTGGATGGACAGTGCCCTGGGTGCAGTCAGGGCTTGTGTCACTGAAGATGCCTGATGATATTTTGTTCCTTGCAATTCCAGTGCAGCTGAAAATTCCTGCTAACGTGATCAGCATCAGAATAGTTGGCATGGACATGATGCTCTTTGTCACTGGATTCCAGAGCTATTGACAACTCTTGGAACTACTGCTCTGCCAGGGAAATACAATCATCGTGTGGGGTGGAGGGCAGAGTAGGAAACCAGTGCATCACTGGGGAGAGGAAAAAAATTGGCAAGGCCAGTGGAGCAACCCCACCTCCTTGTTTAAACAGAACAATACTCTAGGATTTTTTTTTTTTTTTTTTTTTTTTTTTTTTTTTTTTTTTTTTTTTTTTTTTTTTTTGATCAGCAGGAGCAATGAGGTTGTATGAATAAGGTCACATATAGGGAAAAATAGTCTTCTATTTTCTAGCAAAAGCTGCACTTTTATGTCAATCTGCTTTAAGGAAATGAAGGTCTGAGTCAACCCTGCTGGGACTGGACCCTGTGGTTCTAGCGAGTCACCTTCTACATAGAGCACCAGGCTACTGTGCATTGGTCTGACGTGGAGGATGAGACGCGTGCACCCCACTGCCCCCAACGGTGCCAGGCAAGAGGTAACGTTTATAGGGTGCTCGCGTGGAGGGGACTGTTCCAAGGGGCATTTGAGAGAGGCTCAACAGGATGGAGCTTCTCTGCTCATGGGCTTGCTTTGACAGGATATTCTGGCAAAGCAAGAATATCCTTTCCGGGAACTATCCTGTCATGACCCTTTTTTGGGTGTAGCACTTCTAAGTCCTGGAGAAGGTGGCCCACTGAGAGGCCGTGAGGTGCCAAATTTCAGTGAAGCTAGAGAGGGTGTTGTGATGAGGTGGGGAATTTCTCTCTGGCCAGGTACTGGCTAGTTACAACTATAGGAATTGGGTTGCTTGTATCTCTCTGGAGAGAAAGGGGGTCAAAGCATGCTAATGCGAGCAGCTGCTGAGAGGAACAGACGCTGTAGCAGATCAGAGCCTGAAGCTCAGCCAATAAGCTGACACAACTGATTTTATAATCATGTTAATGCTGTCTCGAAATAACACACCCACTCAAAGATAAAAGTGGTTTCGTTTTTAAAAAATATTGTGGTATTTCTGGTGTTAGGCCGAGAGTTCATTTGGAGAGGCTGGGAGAAGCATGGCCTCTCATCTGCAAGGTCAGAAACACTGGGTCTGATCCCAGATCAGTGAGAACTGAGGACAGTTGCTGCATCCCAGGAGGGGCCCAGCCCCGAGCAGGATTGGGCCTGTTAGCGAACATCAGCTCTCTCGGGTGAGGAGTGGAATAGAAAAAAATAATACAACTTCCCTCCCTGAAAAGCTTTTTTTAGACCTCCTTGTACCTTTTGTTCCATCTGCCTGCCAAAAAAAATATCCATGTTTGGGAACAGAGACGGGTTCCCAGGCTAGGAGACAATGAATCCTGGGTGTGTAGAAAAGGCTCCTCCTGGCAGTGGTCTCCCTTTCTATTGCTATGCTGCTAACATCCAGACTGGTTGACACTGGTTCTCCAGTGCATGCTCCTCTCCTTAACTAGGCCGTTTTCCTTCTTTCTTGTCTGTCGAGCCTTGCCTCTGATCTCCACTGCTGTTAATGGAGGGAGGGAGGAGAAGAGAAGAGCCCTAGTGTAGAAAGTCCTTCTGTTCTAGCTGCTAGTTTCAGCCCCATGTTAACTAGGAGTGTTCTGAGATTATTTGCAAGACACGCTTCTGTAAATGGCTTTTGGGCCAAGACTATTTACACTGAAGCTCCCTGAGATTAAACGGGGTGGCTGAGGTGGAGCCACCCCCTGGACCCTGAGGTGGAGTTGTGAGCAAATATTCAGCCTGTTAGTGAGATCACCACTTTTTTGAGGCCTAGCCTCACAGAAACTGAGGATCACTACAGACCTCACTCACCACCTTCTATTCTAAGACGCATTCCTTGACTAACAAACGCAGCTCGTTGTCCCACTCTCTCTCTGCGCTTACACTTCAAACTCTCCATTGCATATGCTTCTGTCCTGGGGAGAATGAGGATGCAAGTACCTGACACGTGTGTTGCGCTATTCAATGTACAGCTGGAAGACACTTGCACTAGCACAGTGCATGGGGTAGAAGAAGGGATACAGAAATGTTCTTTAAAAACAATTTCCAATCCTCAGCCTCAATCCTTTAGTGTCTCTTCTTTCTCTCTCAAGACAGGCTTTGGTCAGAGCTGCATCTCTTCCAATTAATAGCCATGAAGAAAGAATGAGCTAAAGAGGCCTTGGGTGACCAGTGATAAATAATCCACTTTAACCTGGATCATACTCCTAGAAATGTGACAGCTTTGGTAATGCAGCACTGTTGAGTTTCTTACAAATTCCCCTGTTTACTGGCAGCTTAAAGCTGCTGTCTTGTATTTCATTTAAAATCCCACAGGACCAAATTTTGGAGCTCAGTGTGCAGCAGGCTTCATTGATGATGCTATATGAAAGGTCTTCCTTGCTTGGCGAGGACAGCCTGCAAATTATACACTTAATTTGTCCATTGGAAGGAAAAGACTGAATGGTTCTGTCACTAACGATCCACAGTCCCTGCCCCCAGCTGCCCTGTATGATAGGGTAGTCAGTGAGCCCTTCTGCCATTAACATCTGGGGCACTAGGAAGTGGCTCACTTGCTAAGTTTGAAATACCAGCTCTTTCTCCACAACAGACCCCAACCAGTTCCAAGTGGTTAGAAGTCCCTGCTGCAGGGGGAAAAAATTAGGCTTTGGCCTTAGGTAGATGAATCCAGAAACTGTTAGGCATTGCTAAAGGAAACAATGCTGATCTTGGAGCAGGAAAGACTACAAGTACAGATAGTCAAAAAGCCTGAGGTTGAATTGATTCAACCTTTGCAGGCTAGTCTAAGTTGTGCAGACTGAACCGATAAGCAAGTGAACAGACATTCACTTTTGATTCTGTAAGTGCAGCTACATGCCTGCAGTGGCCCAGGCCAGAAGCTAGGGGGTCCTAGAGCATGCTCTCTGCTTGGCTGAAGCAGACAGCTTGGACCAAGGCTAGCCCACCCACGCTGTAAGGGGGTGGGTGTGTGTAGAGGGAGGTGAAAAGCATCCTGGGATGCTGGAGGACTGCAAGTTAACTTGAATCTGGAGGGGATCTGGGACACAAATTCAATAAACCAATTTAACCTAAGTCAGTGAAATCTGATACTACATCCATCCAGGTTTATCTTAAACTGGTTTCGGCCACTTTGAAAGCAGGTTATGTGCACTGAACTTCTGTTGTGTTACAGATTTCCAGTCACTTTTACTGGTTTATGTGTAGCTTCTGTCCCTAGACGACGTAACAGGTCTTTTCCAGGTGATTTGTCTTCAAGTTCTAGTTGGACCAAATCTGTATCTTTAATTTCTTCTATGAAGGAACAGGATATCTTCCTTTTTATATGCATGTTACACATAGCTGGACAGAGATGAAGATACTAAACAATTGGCACAAGGCTGGTGGTGGTGAATGCTAAATTAAACTGACATTAATACTCTTCCCCCTTGTTACCTTTGGACTGTTTAAACTCTGCATGTGGACTCTTAGGATGCCTGTACACGAGCGCGGAGACTGCCCCGACATGCTGTAAGTGCGTTGGAGCAGGCTCGATTAATTGAGACTGCTGGAGCATGGTAATTATCACGCTCCAGCAGTCTCCTGCGTCTTGTGTCTCAGCATCTCTGCACTTCAAAATGGTGGTGGGGGCATTTGAACTAAAGCTTGTTTGAACGAGCTTTAATTCAAGCACCTCCACTGCCATTTTGAAGTGCAGGGATGCTGATACAGGAGATGCTGCGGTGCTTCATAGATTTCATAGACATTAGGGCTGGAAGGGACCTTGGAAGATCATCGAGTCCAGCCCCCTCCCCCAGGGGCAGGAAGTCAGCCGGGGTCATAGGATTCCAGCAAGATAAACATCCAATTTTCTCTAGAAGGCGTTCAGAGTAGGTGCTTGAACCACCTCTGATTTAGATTTAAAGCACTGCCGTCCACTACTCCCGGAGCACATGTAACAAGTGCCCTTAAATACAGCACATAAACGAAAGCAAGAGAAAGGGACATGAAAGCAGGTAGCATTGAAGCCTTAGTTGTATCCAATGTACTGTGTGTGTGTGTGTGTGTGTGTGTGTGTGTGTGTGTGTGTGTGTGTCACTTCAAAGGCCAATAGTTGCAATAGTTCAGCTGTGTGCCAGAGTGGAATGAAAAAGGTTAAACTGTCCTTTAATTAATCTAAATTGCACATGGGGTTGAACTGACCCCTACCCAGGTCCAGGATTGGGGGATCACCATACAAGTGAGTCATAAAACCATGTTTGCCCTGCACTCCTAAGTGCTCCCCGTCTAGTCCCAAGAGACAGATTGAGCCTCTCTAAAAGCAGGAAGAAGGTCTCCATGGTGGAAAGGTTTATTTTAATAATGAAAGTAATAACATAAAGAAGCATAATTAGTTTACTCAGTTTATGTAGTGCTAGCAAATTTCATGCCAAAGTGATATTTAAAATACTTTTACATGGGAATCATCTCATCTAGTGATTTAACAGCTATTTTGAAGGTGGTGTCATGATAGCATAGGTTTTGCTGTGAAATTGAGAAGAATACCTGGCTTACCAAACCTGTAGGTAGGCAGGTAGACAAAATGTCACCATCCAAACTGAATTCCAGCCATCAAATCCTACTTTGAGGTGCCATGGGATTTATTTTTTCTTTAAGGACTACAGAAAAGAAAGAAGGGAAGTCTTATCACTTAAAAATGGAACAGGAAGCTATTGTCCTAGATCTGGAATCTTTCACAGACTTTCTGTGGGATCTTGGGATAAGTTTCTTGCACTTCCTGTGCCTTAGTTTCTCCCCTCATAAAATGGGGATAACACAGGTGTAGCAGAGCAGCTCCATTCCCTGGGCAGCCATGACTCACTGGGCAGTTCTGGCTGCCCCCATGCTAATGGCAGTAGTGGTTGTTTTTGTGTCTCCCCTCCCCAAAGATGGCATCCACAGCTACTGGCCCAGTCACCTGTCCTCCCAGTTATGCTATTTGGAGATGACGTGGATTTGCCTAGCTTGCTTGCTGTTGTGAAATGCCATTTGTTAGTAAAGGGAAACATTTAAAAAAATGATGTCTAGATGTCCCCCTGGAGACACATTTCTGGCCCCCTAGGCCAGATCTTCATAGATCCCACAGCTCGCATTGAGATTTGTGGGTGTTCCTTGTTCCTAGAAATAAAGCTCAGGGTGACCCAGCAGTCAGAATAGGAGGCCACTCTGGTAAATCTTGGCCAAGGTGTATTTCTATCGTCAACTAACAGGAGCAAAACCAGTGCTCAGTCTTGGGACTTGGTCGCTCTTTTTGTAAGCAAACGAAAAGAAAGGAAAGAAACTCTGCAGATTAACTGGCTGGAAAGCTTTGGTTGTTTGTCAATTCTTCTTTGGAGCAAAAAGGTCTTTTATGTGCCAATATTTACCAGATATCAATAGGGAGAGTCCAAGAGAGAAACTGGGCACACCTAGGTCCAGGGAGGTACATCAAACAATTCAGTCATTAGATGGACAGTTTAAAAAAAAGGTAAGTTTTGCTGATGCAAAGTAGTCCTTCCTGAATGCAAATGCTGGCATATATGATATGGGTATTAGAGAAGATGAAGTATCTTACCGTGTCTCAGCATACTGAAGGACCTCAGAAATCTATGATTCAGTGTTAAGGTTAAAAAAACAGAGGTATTGCTGAACAAACTCTTCGGGTTTGGTTGTTAATGCAGAATTGATTAAAATGCCAAGGTACAGTATTGCAACCTGCACTAGGGATTTAGCTAGACTTAGCCAAAAGTGGAAGGCTTTTGGGTGGATGCCACGTTAGGTCACATCTCTGAAGTTCAGGACCAATGGAAACAATGGTGGTCCCAGTTCTACTGTGCTTACATCAGTGACAATAAGAATAATTACTTCTGAAACCAATGTAATTACACCACAGAGATATAGTTATATATCTGATATAGAATCAGCCCTACCTAGTTGCTTAATGGGTGACTAGCCACGGAAACTCTACAAGGTTCTTCGGCTAGACACTGTGGTTAGTCTTGTGGGATTCAAATTGTTAATATAGAGTGATATAGCCCCAGGTCTGCTCTCAGAGGAGGTCTACAATGCAGCATGGTGTAGAGATACCCAAGATAGATTAAACGTCTTGGCTTGGCCACTAGGTACAGTCTGACTGGAAGCAAAGCTCGGTGCAGGCTTGTCGGCCTTGCAAAGGAACGTAAATTAAAGTTAGCTCTCATGTCTCTTAAATTACCCTGCGATCTACGAGCAGGAGCTCTGCAGAATGCCATGATGAGGTAAGTAGAGGCATGTGGCCTTAAATGGGAAGAAGCGAGCTCAGTAAGGTGAGGAACAGGTCAAGCCCTGCTACTGTGATGCCTGCTGCTTGGCTGCAGGATTGCTGTGGGAAACTTTCTGTTCCTGTGTGGTTGGGACTGCACTCGGCGATCTGTTGCCATTTTCTTTTCTCCTTTCCCCTCCCTGGTTTTCAGGAGGTTGACAAAATGCCCAAACTCTCTCCAACTTTTGAAGATGGGGGGGGTCAGAACACAAAAAGAGCATACGGTTGGGCAGAAAAGACTCGGGAAGGCAGTCTGGCACTGCATATGTCTGCCCCCTACAGAGAAAGTAAGAGCCGTCTGAAAGGAGGTGGGGCGAGAAACTGGCACAAAGAGGTGAACTCGGAGCCAATTTAGAGCTGGGAATAGAACATCTCGCACTGAAACAGAGAAGCCTGTTCCTTGCCTGCCTACCTGCCTGCCATAAAGAGCTGATAGTCTGGTTCTCTTTCTCTCCCATCCCCCACTTATGTTTTCTCTGTCAGATTTCCTTTAGTTTTACTCCTGTCAACTGGCCAACATAGCTGCAGCAGAGCCAGCTGGAGTCCATTCCCTCCAATGTATCATCAGCAAAATTGCCGGCTAAGTTCTGACTCCAGTATCTTTATTGTTGGCAATGAGGCTGTAGAAACGAGAGGGAGAATGCAGGTTGAATTTCACACTGCACAGCGCTGAACGCTCACCCTGGAGCTAGAAAATCTTATTAACGGTTAAAGTGGGAAAATCTGCTGTGGAAGCGGATTGACAGCAAATAAATAAAGACCCCGAAAAGGTCACTTTGCTTGACCATAACCTCTCTTGCTCGCTCTCTCCCCCGCCCCCCTCCCAAAGCAACTAACAGTTAAAAAAAAAAAAAAATATATATATTTTTTTTTTTTTTGCAAAGACAGAACAATAGATATCACTAAATGATGTGGGGGGGAAGATCATTTAAAATGACGCATTGTGTCAGATTTTTTGTCAGCAATGTTGTGACCGATTACATACAAATGTAGATAGGTAAAGTTAATAATCTAAAAGAAAACAAAACAAACCAATATCTTTCAAACCCTGTAAATTAGGGGATACACAGTTAATGTTGCCCTCATCTGTATGTCCTTTCCTCTTCCGTATTACAAGTTCTTTCTGAGAACAGACTCTTCCTGAATTGTTTTTTCTTGAGCAGATTTTAATTTCCTTAATGGCTTTTATAAAAGCCATTAGTGGCAGACATTCTGTTATCCAGTTCTGAGCAGAGCATTGTCGCTTCCGTCTACAAAATGTTGTTTTTAACATTTTCCAGTGTGATTCTTCGTCGCCACACTAAATTCCTAGTCTTTCCATTTAATGGCTTAGAAAATTTGAGTTTAAGAAACTTTGTATATGTTGGGGGGGCGGGTTGTTTAATAATATTCTTGTAAGCACCGGTATATGTACCGTTTGCAAAGAAGAGGGAACGATTGCTCCCAAAATTGTGTTTTGATTCTGAAAAGGTTGAAAATACAACTTTTACCCCTCCAGCCTATGGTCACAAAGCAAGCAGAAATACTGTAAAAAAAAAAAAAACCAAACAAACAAAAAAGTGACACATCCTATTTGTCTTTGCACAATTACACCGTAGACTGACGGTCAACCCGATGGCCTGTGAATCAGTGTCACGCAGCCCCCAGGGCTGGCAGCTGCCTGGCAGGAAGCGGTGGCAGGAGTCACTGCTACGCCTTCCCGAGCGGTGTAAATGGATGGGGTGGGGCTCGGGGCTGACCCCGCACCGGATCCGGCCCATGGCTTGACCCTGCCCCATGCTCGCACAGCCGGTCGGGCCAAAGTCTGAGCACCAGTGCTTCGGACCAGGGGTGCTCGACCCCCGGCCTGCAGATCCGCGCCATCCGGGCTCCCCATGGCTCTGGAAATTTGCCAGTAGAGCGGTCATGGCAGCACCAATTGCCACTGCCAAATTTCCACCTGGGTGGGGAGCCTTCCCGTGGGCCAGCACCGGGCACCGAACCCGTGGGGGATCCAGCCTGCGTCCCTCCTCCAGCCTGGGGGGGGCCAGGAGTTGACCCTACCCCTTCCCCCCTGCGCGGTGGGCTTGGACCCCCGAAACAATCCCAGGCAGGCTGGGAAGGCAGTATATCGTGTCTGCAAGGGGGGGGGTCTGCCTGAGGGTAACTCCCCTCTTCATGCCTGAGCCTCCTGCTTCAGGAGGGGAGACATGGAGAGGGGAGTTACCCCCTCAGGTGTCCTTTTGAAGGGGTCTCTGAGGAGGTAACACCTGAGGGGGTAACTCCCCTCCTCGTGTCTGCTGTCATGAAGCAGGAGGCTCAGGCATGAAGAGGGCAGTTGCCCCTCACGTGCTTTGAAGGGGTCACTCCCCCCCGACCCACGCCTGACGGGGGGTGGTGACAGGCGCAGGAGGCTGAGCGCACGCGCGCTGGGCTCGCACGAGAGACCGCGCAGGCACCAGGCACCTCCCCCACGGGGCTCCCGGCCCCACCCCCCGCGCTGCGAATGCCGTTAACGGTCGCGGGGGGGGGGCGGGTTGAGACGCGCTAGCCCCGCCCCTGCCAGCTCGCCAGGCCCCGCC